TCAAATTTTCCAAGCATGTTATTGAACACGTTTCAGCGCTCTTCTTTCAGTCTTACATCTGACTGAAATTTGAAAGTCCTGTTACAGTTTCTGCTGCATTTAGCGCCAGAGATTTGGGTACATCTTGGAAAGTTCACAAGGCCATTACTGGGCCAGAACTAAGACAAAGTAAGTAAGTGTTTTTTTCTTATTATTTTACTCCCACCAGAGCTAGAGTCCACTGGATTGATATATTGGGATTCATCTCTTTTATTCTGCCTTTTTCCCTTCATGCTATGAGAGAGGGCTTAATGAAAGCCTGTCCACCTTACACCCTCATGCTCGCACAAATGGGAGCGGACACACATTCATTTGGACTGTTGACAGTCTATGGCAGCACCAGGGTCTTCTCTACAGGCCTCCATCCATCTTATGCCCACATATGAGCTACCACATACAAACACATCGGAGGCCGCCGTGATCTGTATTCTATCAGCCGCTTTATTAGTCTGCCCGTTGGCTTATGCATGTATGTGTTTGCCTGTGTGCGTCTGCACATGTGCGTGTTAAGGGGGCCTCCCAACGAGAACCAGACCCGTTCCCAGAAAGGATATGCACTCTAACACACACTCCTTTATTTCCTTTTAGTTGAACTGCTCCTTAATTTGTAACACTTCTAACAGCCCGCTCTGCAGTCCACTTCACAGCCACTCAATCTGTCACTGTCACCGCTGACTGTCCCTTTCTTCTGGGCAGAGCAGAGTGTGCATGTAATTCCATGTCACCCATTTTTGTATTATCTACAGCTGCCCCGGCCTCATGTTTATGTATATTTACAGTACATGTCTACAGCTGCAGAGAATGAGGGAAGTCTCATTTCCACCTCTGCTCCTAAACTTTCAAAGCTTTCATGTCAGGCTGCCCCCTGCCTCCTTTAACAGGAAGTGCACACCATCTCTGATTGTCTTTTTATTTTTCATCCTTTGCTGCTCTTATATGCAGTATGTTTGATCTACAGTAGATAGAAGCAACACCAATATCTGAAGACAGAGTGTACCTGTTCTTTTCTCGTCCACCTATAAACCTTTTTAATCCACAACTTCCCCAGGATTTGAGAGCTAAACTAGGGGAGAGTCACTCTTCTGTCTTCTCTATTTTACTACCACAAATTGCGGCTTTCCCATTCTTCAAATACTGCTGCTCCTTAGATTACTTGAGCCTGGTGGATTTTAAAATGTCAAAACCAGTTTGGCTCTCCGCCGCACATGCACCTATACAAATGAATGCAAACTAGGGTGTGTTCGCACTTTAAAATCCAGGCCTGTGCAGCAAAGCACTATGATCACACCTTATAAAAATATTCCCTCAGAGACACACAATAACCTAGCAGCTATGTCTCACATGCTGTAAGTCTCCTGCTATCTCCATCTCACATCAAAATCACAATCACCACTGCGCTCTGAGCTGCCGTTTCCATTTTCTGCCCTCCGTCAAACAGAAAATAATATGTACCTTGTCACCAACGTCTCCTGGTACATGCAACTTTCCTCTACTAATTCAATGCGCCATACACATCCGTCAGATATAACTGGCGGAGGAGAGGGCATGCCGAGACAGCCATTAAAGGTTCCTAGCTGTCAAAGGTTCCCCTTTGTGTTGTGAGGAGCGATATAAGTGTCGTGCTCTTATCAGGGCTTCCTGTGGAGTTTGCTCTGCATCCTGTCCACTTAGAGCCGCTCCTCTTTCAATGAAGTCTCATTGTGTCTTTGTGTGTGTGTGTGTGTGTATGTGTATGTGTGTGTGTGTTCGTGTGTGCGCTGTCAAGTGAGTCGTTTTGATGCCGTTTAATCAATTCAAAGTATAGGTCAAGTTTTAAAACTGGAATATTTTTTTAGAGTTAGCACATCACTAATGTGAATATCCATTTTAAAACAGGAAAAAATAAATGAACTAGCATGATTGTTTGGTTCTCCTTGTTTTATTCAATTATTATGTCTTTGTTTTAATTTTGTTTAGTTTTACAGTTTTGGTGGCGAAATTAATTAAAATCGGGGTTTCCTGTCTGTAAACCCGGATTTTTTGACCCAGATTAAATAATCTAGCAAAGAGTGCTTCAAAAGTGAACCACCCAGCAATAAAGAAGCAACCTACAACTGCTTTATTTTCAGATGAATATAAAAATAGTTTGACTTCTCTAACAGCCATTCTGTCATTTCAAGCAGACTTGGTCAGTCATCGCTTAACTATGAAATCGACATTTAGTAATGAATTACTACAAAAAAGTCCTCTCTTAGATAACACATTTTCCATTTGCTTTCATTTCCTCCTTTAAATGGACTCTGCAGCTGGGGAAATCCTTGACCACCGCTGCGTCTTTCTCTTTTGGATTTTATTATTGGCGTTGTGACTTAACCAAAACGTCTGCACATTACTCTGAGTGATGGGAGCTGCTGATCAGGGGGATTGTCAGAAGTGCAGAGCGTAAGGAGTTTGAGATCTGGCTTTAGGGGAAGAAATGCAAGATCCAAGAAACATTTGAGAGGAATCTTACAGAGTTAAGACACTTTTCTTTAGTTCAACCCTTCTGAAGCGAATGAGGAGAAATAGTGTATGAGCGAATAGCTTGCAAAAAGACATGATAAATATATCTGTGTGGAGACAGAGAGGGTTTTGAGATCCAAACACAGCATTCCTGATGTCTTTCAGTTGCAGTTTCTTCCTTTTTTTCTTTTCTTTTTGTTTATTGAAAGAGTTTCACACGTGGAGCTGATAATTTCCAGCCAGGTTCTCCTCCTCCTCCTTCTCCTCTGTGTGACATGTGTGGATAGAGGGAGAGGGAAGTGGATGAAATAGAAAAAGTAAAGGTAAATAAACAAACAATCAGCCGCAAGCTTGTTCTGGCGCTCCTTCTCTGTTGCCCCTCATTTGAAGCATTATAAATCAGGCTTCTAGCCTGAGACAGGGTGTTAGCAGGCCTCTCAGACAACACACACACACACAGAAACACACACATGCCTACAAAAAAAAAACATGCTGGTCTGCTGCACATTAAGTTTGTGATCAAACCATTGGGTGTGTATGAATTGCCATGCCTGGTATTTAAGCATAGAAGCATTCATAGCCGTGTGTGTGTGTGTTTGTGTGTGTAAAAAGTAGTAATACGTGCACCTTGTCTCCACCTGGAGCGCAGCTTTTCTACATATGTTCATAAAATATGTACAATACCTGTTGCAGCTACCCAATAACCCCTTGACAAGTGCACTCTGACTCCGCCAGATGCAGAGAGGATATTAGGCTGGGAGGGTGAACATGTGTGTGTGTTGAGGGAGACTGCCTGGTTAGTTTTCAGCGACTGTTTTCGCACATTAAAAAAAAAGGCCTGGACTCCATCAGGGCAGGTTTTTAAGTTGTAAACTCGGAGCAGAAGAGACAGTGAGAGGATTTATGAATCCAAGAGATAATTAAGATCCGTTGATTATCTGTCATTATCAAGACAAACATCACCAGATAATTTCCCTTCTGACTGAGCCTTTGTGGATTATTGGAAACACCAACAGGAACTAACTTGCATAAAAAGTCTATTTGGCCTCTTTCACTATCAGTAATGTGTTTCTAATCAGTAGAAGCCAGGGACCAAAGTTGTTTTTTAGTTTTTTTTAACTTGGGTCAAGGTTTTGCACAATAATTTTAAGCCAAAGCCTCTACGGCCATTGTTTTTCTAAAGAAGGAACCGTGAGTGCTGAGGGTAAACCCACCTTTGCTCAAAAGAGGCACAACGTTACTGTAACCTCAGCATGCGCTCGCTTAAAACTGTTGGTCCACTTGAACAAACTGTGCTTCCACACTTCGGTCCAGACACTTTACTTATTTACTTACCAAACTTGTCACCTGCACCCCCACCCACAAAAATACACCTGCACACACACTTACTCAGACAACAAGAACGTGGCCATTCACGCTTTTACGAGCTGGGAAAAAAAACATGACCGCGTCTTTACAAAAAACTGCCGGAGTAGTTCACGAACTTTGCACATCTAAAAATGTCAAATGGCTTTTTGGTTCTTCTCCTTCGCACCTCGGTTTCCTCCGGCAGACATTTGACTGTGATTAGGGGAGCAGAGAGTCAAGCTGGAGGTCAGCGCTGAACCCGGGTCAGGCTGATTGGTTGTTGTAATTAGAGGAGTTTCTCTGTCCCAGGCCAGATCTCCTGGGAGGATCCACACAGGCTCTCAGTATCGCGTGCAGCACAGGGGCCGAAATCGGAGCCCGGCCCGGTGGAGAGGGCAAGCTGGGGGGTTTCAGATACCCTCAGATTCCCCACCATCTCCGACCTCACAAATATGCACAAGAGTCCTGCACTTTCCTTTTTTTTTTTGGCCTTCTTTGTCATAAAACTGCAAAAAGTTCACCAATCTGAAACATTGTGCTTTGGCTCGTCTGCCTTGTTAAATTCTCCACTTCCTATCAGTGTCATAGTTGCAAAATTTTGTTGGAAACAATGTCCCACTTATCGCTTCAGAAAAAAAAAACATAAGGCTTTGTTATTCCTTTTTGGTTCCCCCCCTCAGTTTTCCCTTCACAATAAGCCCTTCTTTCTATTATTCTGCTCCTCCTCTTCCTCCTTTGCCACTACCTTCATTCCCTGTGAAAGTGGGTAACACGAAACCCACTCCTGGAGTCTCGGGGGGCTGCAGGGGTTACAAAGGGTGATCAATATGTGCCAGAGAAAGTCTTTAGACAAGTGAAAGAAGCCACAGTTTGTCTGCTCCCTCCTCCTTCCCCTCCTTCCTCCTCTTGTTTTCAGGATTGACAGGGTTAGGTGGCCCTAACACCAACTGACACGCTGGCTGTGTGCGCGTTAAAATGAACTGACATCAAACTCCCGCCGCGGTTGCATACGATCCCGACGAATGTTGAACATTTTCACCTTAACCTTCCTTTGAAAATTTTGTTTGCAATAGGCTCCGTTGAATATTTGCATTTGCTCTCATTTTAATATCTCACCTGTTGCTCTCCCGTAGGTGGTCGATGACATGGGTAACGTCAAGTTTGCACTGGACACAGGGCCGGACGCCACCGGCAACAGCTGGCTCAAATACGTCCGCTCGGCCCTGTCGTTTGAGGAGCAGAACCTCGCCGCCTGCCATCTCACAGGAGACCAGGTGAGTGACGTGACATCACTGTCCCGCTTGGATCTTTGGCCCATGTGAATAAAAATACAAAAAAAAAATAGCACCATGCTGTCATCGGCGGGCAGAGGAGGGGGGGGGGGGCAGCAGTTACTGCTTCCCATCCGCTAATAGCAGACACTGAGTTGATGTGTCTGAATAGGTTTGTGTACAAGTGTGCATGTGTGTGTGTCTGTGTCTGTGTGTGTGTTTACCATTGTGCTAGAAAAATGTGTGTGCTGTAATGACCAAGGAATGGCTCTATTGTTTGTCTGCGACCGGGCCGGTTGCCAATGTTGTTCAGAAATGACTCATGAGAAGAGGCTGAAGAATAGTGTGACATTCCCATGATAACCAGCCACGGTCTTCTTCTGTGGGGTTTCTATCCCCATTTATCACGCTTAAAGACACCTCTCCAAAACTCAAACATATCCTCACCATAACTCTTGTGATGTCTATGTCAGAAGGCACTGCAGCAGGGAGGTCCAGTACCTTATTTATCCATTGAAACGGTGTTGGTGTTTCTGTCCTTTTGCTTAGCGTTCAATTTTCTGTCATATGACACACAAACTGGTGATCATCAATAGGTTTTTGACTCTATAGATAAATAGTGCCTTTTCCCTTGCAAATTGCAGACCATATCAGACCAGAGCGCGAGATTAGTGGCAAAAGTGTGACAGTAGCCAAATGCATCCATATGACTTTGTGTGTTCCACATTCCTGTCACTCGGCTCTTATTTGTTTCCTAATCCCTGCCTACACGGCTCATTCCTCTTCCTGTCTCGGTTCTTTGGCCGCCTGTTCCGTGCTGACTTCCCTCTGTCCTCATGTCTTGATCTGCCACCTGTCACTCTGTCACAGCGAGGGGACAGGCTGGTGTGTCCATTAAAGCTTCAGACATCAAGTCTGACCGTTCAAGAGAAATGGGGGGCTTGGACCAAGTAAGAGCGGGGGGACACAAAGGGGCCTCACAGATTGACAAGCGCCAATTGGCTGGCAACGCCAACCTGCATAATCCTTTTAAGATTTTCACATCGGTGCTCCCTGCCACTGCCACACAATGTCAAAGAAAGAATCAGGGCACCAGAGAAAATTGTGGAGAATTATCAGACTAAGAAAAGGCCGCGTGCACGATCGCTTTTTGATGTGTTTTTTGCACTTGTTTGTACTTAGCGGAAGGCTTTGATTTTGTTTGCCTGGCCAGTTGCTTGGTATAGTGGCCCGCAGGTATGACCCTATCATTTATTTACAAACACTGCACTAACACACACGCGTGCACATGTACCCAGTCACTCAGTGCTAAAATTTATAATTTAACAGACCATTCTGTGATTTTTTTTTTCTCTTTATTTGACTTTCTTTTGTATCAGCATGCACAATGCATGAGTTGGTGGAAATATGTGCGCAGCAGGCAAATTCAAATGCGGGCAGAAACCCCGTAAAAGGCAAGTGGAAGACGCATGTGTTTGTTTGTCATTAATGATGTAGGATGAACAAATGTGTGCATGATCATGCATAATTTAGAGATTAAAACTCATGCAGTAATTTGGCCTTTTTGGATCATTACTGCTGTTAACATCAGGGGCAGTTTCTGTGGGAGTGCTGTGGGTTTTTGAGCTTTTTTTTTTAACAAGGCTAATGTGTGTGTCGGTGTTTTGTGTGCGTGCACAAACCATTCAGTGCATTCATCTCCTCGTAAACACACGCATTCTGTATGTTCAGCAACTTTTTCTTACTTAGATCTGTTTTCAGTTTCATGCCAATAAAATGTTCAGATGCTTTAAGCAAAACTTAAGCACAAAAAAAGATTGATATACGGTTTTCCAAATGTGTGTGCGTGTGTGTCTTTGTGTTTAAGTGTGACCGTGTCTACCCCAATGAATGAGTTCCCTTTGGTTTCGGAGTGATAAACAGCCACCCAAAAAAACTGGTGTGTAAGCGAGCCCAATCAGTTGGTCTGAGGCCAAGTTGCTCCTCAGGATTTCAGTGGCTGAGAGGGAATGGCGTGAGTGTGTATGTGTGTGTGTGTGTGTGTTGGACGGGCACTGGATGGGGGTTTAACGAGAAGATGAACCTTGTCCACCTTCTTGTCAAGCCTTCATCTTTTGTGTTTCGGAGTGGAGCACTTTCTAACGCCGTTTGATCTGCCCTTCTACCCCCGGATGGATCCATCAATTCATACAGACTGTTGCACTCTGTGTGGGTCTGAATGTGTGTGTGGGTGTGTGTGTGTGTGTTTGCTTGAAGCCACAGTAGGGGGATTACTTCGGGCCCTACGGCTGGCATTGATCGATGAGGCATCTGTCCACCGAACACTGGACAGAGATGGGAAGAGGTCAACACAGATCTGGAAGTGCAGGCCTTACTGTAGAATACACACACGCATGTACACACTTAAAAATCTTCAGCCAAATATTAATTACAAATGTAATTAAGATTTCCCTAATTAGCAGCTGGTTACATTAATTAAAAAGAGAAATACTGCAGAGGGGCATTTGCTGATAATGTTCCAATACATCACTTTCATTACAAAAAAATAGCATAGTGTCATTAATATAAAAACTATTTTATACTTATGAAATACATCATCTGCAGGATGTATTTCTACTATAAAAAATATTGCATGAATTTTATTAACCAACAGGATTGGGCCATTATGTTTTTCTCACTAGGCCCTTTTTCATATTTCACACATTTATTTCTTTTTTATCTGTTTTTTTCGTTTTGTATTTTTTGGTTGTTTTTTTTGCAATGAAAAGAAAAATATTAAAATAACCACGAACAATTCAACTAAAATTCAAGGGAATTATTTCCGCCCTTCACATTTATTTTGTTGATATGAATGGATCAGAAGAGAAAATATTTTTATCTAACACAAGTTGGGTTAAAATCTGATGGTCCCACTTTGACCTGAAAAAAGTTCAAATAAATTTCGTTTCTTAAATCAAAATTTCTCGTTCTTGGAGCAGTATTTGGAGCAGATAAATATGTCAGATCGTTAACTTAAATAACAATAATAAGGAAGGCCTTTACGAGCAGCATTTTTCGCTTCCGCGTGTGTGTGTGTGTTTGTTTATGTGCTGTGTGTGGCTGATGGAGCGATCGTCGCTCCGTGGAGCAGCTTTATCCATTATTCAAATCAATAATAGATTTATCAGGCGGCCAGAGCGGGGAGGGGTCTGCGCCCGCCGGTCCCTCAATCCTTTTGGCTGGAGATAAGACGAGGAGGAGTGGCCGACGGGTAACCGAGAGAGCACCAAGGGGCAATAGGGAATCACTAATGAGAGAGAGAGGGACTCAGAAAGAGAAAGAGAGAGAGAGAGAGGGAGAGAAAGAGAGTAAGAGGGAGACTCATCATCATCATCATCAAAGAGGCGCTCACTGACTAGATTAGAGAGTGGCTTTCGCGGAGGGAGCTTCGGACTTCATCCTGCTCCAGGTAGCGATCCCCGGCTCGTCCCAGCGGCTCCCGGCCGACCCGCGGGGCCTCTCCCCCGGCTCTGACAGCTCGCGGCGTCCCGCTCCCCCTCCGCGGCGCGCTTACTATGGGTTGCGTGGCCAACTCCTCCGGGACTGAAGTGCTTCTGCAGCTGGAGGCTCTCCGCAGCGCCGCGCAACTCTCGCAACTCTTCCACCTCACGGAGAAAAGAAAGGTCAGGTCAAAACAAACAAACAAAAAAAAGTGTTAGGAGAGCGCTCATAATGCTCGTAGAAGCGACCGTGTTAATAATAACGATGAAAATGATGCGTAGAAGAGGAGCGTGACACAGATTTGCTCCTCGTCTCCTCTCTCCTCCTCTGCGCACTAAGCGTTGAGAGTTCAGTTTTTTTCTCCCGTCTCTCGTGTTGGTTTTCACGTTTGTGTGTTGGAGCCTGTCTGTGAAAAGCGCGTCCTCCGGTTCCCCGGTCCGGTGGGGTGTTTTCAGCTGGTGCACAGCGCCCCCACGCGGCCACAAAACACACACTCAGCACGTGTGATTGGTCGTTGTTCGCCTCGTTGGGATGAATGAAGCTGATGTTTTATTTGTTGTGTTGTTGTTTTGTTTTGTATGTTTTATGGGAAAATGTCTGAGTTAAATATGATCAATTCGATTTTGTTTTTCACATGGTGTCTTTTTGTGGAAGTTGAGTTCCACATAGGCAGATGTTGGACAGACAGTGAAATGGGGCCTCGGCTCCGGGTGGCCTCGGTTATTTCGCCAAACTTTTAATCCTGCTTTATTTATCACATCAAAAGAGCAAAAATATTCAGCATAAATTGGATGCATTCATATTCTCTAATAGAAATGCGTATTTTCTGTGCGTAAAGCCCTGATATTCTAGACTCTCTGCAGCTGTTGGCCTCAGAAGAACAGCTGATCTGTTTGTTTATTTTGGTTTCGTTTTTCTTCTCAGTGCAACATTAATGCAATCCGCATTTCCTCTGAGTTTCTCCTGTTTTTTAGCGTCTGAGGTGCAGAGTTGTTTCTATAATCTCAAAACTATTTTGCATTAGTATTTATTGCATTTTTTGTTATTTGTGGACAATAAGTGATTTTGTGTTTGCATTTTTGTAGCATGAAACCTTTATTGTGTTATAGAAATAATGCAATAATGAAATCATGGAAAATACGATACATTTCTAAACGAAAATGTTTAATTCGCCAGTCACGTCGATTATATAATTTTTTTATTTTGTTTTTTGTTTTTTTGTTTTTTATATTTAGTAACTTTCTCGATAATAGGCCACATGTTTATTTTCAGCATCCAGCCGTCCTTTAAAGGAAAAATCCGAGCGCGCAGACGTATTTATTCCATCTTGACCTTAAGTTAAAGTCTCTTTTTTTCTCTCTTCTCAGATTTATTATAAAGCTGTCCGGGACATTGAAGCAGGGGAGGAGCTTTTAGTGTATATGAAGGACGGTATTTTCCCTGAGGGCTCCATGGCTCCCAACCTCCAAGGTAAGATTAATGCGCGTCATTAACACACGTTTTAAACAAACTCCAACCAGCATCCTGTGCTTCTCAGTGCATTTTTGAAAAGGATAAAAAAAGATCTCCCATTCCAATATAATTTTTTTTTCTCCATAAGGAACACAAATTATATGAACTTTAAATTTCCAGGATGAAACTGAATCGGAACGGTCGTTTATGGCCTGTCATTTAAAACAGGCCTCTAACGGAGGATAATACACATTACAGGCCGCAAATAGTGTAATTGTGAGCTTTGGAATATTGCAGTGGAGCCACTCTTTTCTTGAAAATTGAGGCGTCAGTTGTCAAATATGATCTGATAATGATTTCTTTTTCAAATAAGATTTATTCTTTTAATAAAAAGCTGACATAATACGAACGGAAAATGTGACTGGTCGGTAGCACACGGAGCAAATGAAGGAAAACCCACTCAGCCCAGAGTTTGGTTATTAAATGCAATAATGTAGAAGGACACTTTGTTTCACCGGCTGTTTGTCAGTGAGAAGACTCGAATGAATTATTTGTTTCTTACCGTAGCTGTTCAGAAATGGCAACTCTCTCAATCAATAATGACTCTTAAGTGGAGAAAAAGAGGGAAAATAGCAATTAATTGTTATGAAATACATTTAAAAAATAATAAATAAAATAATAAAATAATCTTTATTTTTATCTTAATTAAAAATGTATCAGAGGAAGGATTTCTAAATTAAGAGGATTTTCTTTATACAAGTTCATTCACCTCAGTCCTTTCTATCTAGTTACTTTGATGGTGGCTGGAAAAAAAGTTTTGCAAAATAAAACACAACATATATGTTGTTGTGATGATAAACCCTAAATTTCCTGCGTGCATCCACTAGACTTTAGGTGAATGACACTCTGGAGAATCGCATCCCAGTTAGAAAATAAGTAAATAACTCTTCTTTGTGTCTTCTGACTGTAAAAGATAAGTTGCATATAAAGTAGATGTGGAACTTCTATCTATCTGTCCTTCCATTCATCCACCCATCCCGTTTAATCATTGCGTTGGATCTTGTGTCTTCATCCATTTGCTACACCTAGCAGTGTGCTGTCAATCCAGACTCACTTTTCAAAATGTAACCATTTATAGCTGCCCTCATCAACCCTTCTCCTCTTTGAGGGTAACCCGACTCACTGAGCTCAGTACCTTTCAGTTGTTCCCCTACATTGTATGTCAGATTGAATATGTCCAATATTTTATCTTTTAATCTAACTTAGGCAGCTGTTCGCCATAGATCTGGGCTTTGCTTTCAACCCTCAGTGGAGCAGAAAAGCAGCCACAGTTCCGCTGTATTTCTTTAAACATCTTGGACTTATTGCAGTGAAGTGGTGTTGTCAGGTAACAATGTTCAGTTGTGTTACTGGAACCAAGGATGGAAAGAAAAAAAAAAGGACATTCCATTAATCACAAAAAGATGGAGAGAGATGCTCGTGAAATGTTGTGCAGGCCACCAGCCCCCCCCCCCCCCACCCACACACACACACACAGATTGTCCATGCCAAAGCAACAGAGGAAAACAGGAGCTCAACACAGGCTTGTTTATCAATGAGAAGCAGATTGGCATGTTGTTCAGTGTGCGTTAAAATGAGGCAAGCTTATGAATTATTAGTACGGTTCATCTGTGCCTGTGCATATTGAATACAATATGCAGACAGAGAGGCAGACGGAGAATAATCCACCTGCCAAAGTGTGCATGTCAATTCCAAAGTATTCGGCAGTGCCTTTTTGTGTGAGAGAAGGATAAAAGGCGAGCGAGATAAATTTGTTACAGGTGGGATATAGTTGGAGAACGCCCGTTTGTTGTAGGAAGGGCTGGAAGTCTGTAGATTAGCGGGACACAATATATTTTTGGGGATAGTTTGTGCTCGTGTCTCCAGGCGTTTGTGTGACGGAGACAGAGGAAGGTGGCGGGGCTGATTGTGAGGTTGGCAGTGAAGCCCTGCTCCTCGCTGTGTTTGGCTTATCGGAGAAGGAATTTGAAGTAGAGGACTTGAGGAGTCCCCGGAGACCTCACCCATGCTCCCAGATTAGCTGCTAAACTGCACATAATTGTGCCTCCCTTCGTCTCCCAGAGAGCTATTAGTCTCCACTTTATAACCCCCCTGCCACACCACACCGCCCTGCCCCCACCTCACCCGCGCAGACCAGACTCACAAAAAAAGAAAAAGAGGAAAACGCAGGCATGATATGTACAAGTGAGCACGTTTGTGTACGTGCGTGCTCCAGGGATGCACACTCGTAGACTTTTCCCATCATTCTTCAGCATTTCTGTTGGACGTTTCTGCTCTAAGAAATATCTGCGTGTTTATGTGTTTAAGCTTCAAAGTGAATTATGACAAACACTTTCACGCCCACTCCGTAAAATAGATGCTCACAACAGTGTCAAAGAAAGCTACATAGTTTAATATTCAGGCTTAGCGTAATGGTCCATTGACCGGAGGGTCATTTATTCTTTTCCCCAAGGTTAGACACATTGATGTTGCTACACTAATGCCCTTTTAATGTTTCCGAGAAGTTCCAGCTGGATAAATGGTCACATGCGGTAGAAAACAGGTGAGCCATGCATTGTAAGTCATTTTGGATAAACTCATTTTGTGCAGCTTGAATTGATGGATGGGTGTGTGTGTGGTGTGCTGGGGGGGGCCTGGGGGCGAAGCCAACTCAGGCAGGGGCTGCCTGGGTCATGGCAAGAAGGATATGTTAGGTTGGCGCTGGAATCACCATGGGGCTGGCGCCACTGTGCCTCTGCTTACCTCTCGCCACTCACTTTTTTCAGTGTTCGCAGAAACCTCAGCACAGGCACACGTGCACACATCCACGCGTGTGCACGACAGCGCTCCACCGGGCTTTCCCCCGATCTGATGAACTTGGCATATAACTCAGGAACTCGCCATTGAAAATGCTCCTCCAAGTTTTATGCATTTGACCTCGCTGGTGAGAAGTATTGTAAAGGTTATCAACGTGGAAGGGGAAGACCAGCCCCTATTGTTTCCCCTGCGTGCTATTACACCTCCAGATTCAAGCAAACACTTGCTTTAACAAGTAATTAACGGTGTTAATGAAGGCAACATTTCACTGCTAATTGATTTCCATTTTATGTAGATGTCAATTGCAGGATTGCTACTATAGCCATCTGTAAAAGCAGTCTGTTTAAACTGCGAGTAAAACACTAAAACATGGATCGATTTGTTGCTGAGTAATTGCCAATTTTTTAAAGGTTTTATTCAAATAGAAACTTGAAAGGATTGGTAACGCAGTTATGTAAATCAGCAGCACATCTAAGATGGTTAAATATTGATTCTTAAAACACCTGTGTTAAAGCCTCTAAAGGGTTAGATATCATTCAATAACACTCTACTTGATCACAATATTCATAAATGATGTATAAAACTGTTTAAATTGAAGATCAATTTCAAGAATTTGAGTATTTTGTTTTCTTTTCATCTGTATACAATGTTCAATAAATCAATAAATACAATAAAAATGAAAAAGGTAATGAAAAATGTAATGTAAATGAAAAATAAATATTGATTAATTTAATTTGCAAATATGCATTGCTGCCCTCCTAATGTTCTGTTCAAAATATCATCCATTCATCTTTTTCCGATCATGTGATGGCTGACCAAATCTGCATGTGTGTGTGTTTTTCTACACAGACGAACAAATGTATCGTTGTGAAGATTGCGATGAGCTCTTCTCCTCGACGCTTGAGCTCCGGCGGCACCAGAAGTACTCGTGCTCCAGTGCGGGCTCCATCTTTGACGCACTGAGAGAGGACTTCAAACAGGAACGTGAGGACAGCGACGAGCCTGTCCACGAGTGCAAAGACTGTGAGAAGATCTTCCCAAATGAGTACAGGTACAGGAACCTGGCACATTCACCTACAACTTTCCACTTTTCCATGGACTGATAACTGAGTTAATGTTTTAAATCCACTAATAAGCTTGTGTTTGTCTTTATCAAGTCTGGGGCAGCACATGATAGTTCATACAGAGGAGAGGGAATACAAGTGTGACCAGTGTCCTAAAGCCTTCAATTGGAAGTCCAACCTCATCCGTCACCAGATGTCACATGACAGTGGCAAGCGCTTTGAGTGTGAAAACTGTGATAAGGTACAGCACACCCGGCACGTAAGTTGTGCACAGGACACACGGGCTTCAACTGTTTTGGGTTTAGGTCTAATTCATAATGGTTTGGTAAATACACTGGGAAGCTCTTAAAGTGAAGCGTACCTTGAGAAGATACAGTTTAGTTGACCGTGGCATACATTGTATTATTATCCTCTTATTTTACCTTTCAGGTTTTCACAGATCCCAGCAATCTACAGCGCCACATTCGCTCCCAGCATGTGGGGGCACGGGCTCATACATGTCCTGAATGTGGCAAGACCTTCGCCACCTCGTCTGGCCTCAAGCAGCATAAGCACATCCATAGCAGTGTGAAACCCTTTATCTGTAAGTAAGGGCCTTGGGAGTTAGCGAGTGCCTGTTTTGTAACAACATAATTTCATTCCATGTTTTTTTGTTGTCATCATTTGATAACTCCACCACTTTGCAGTTCCAGGATTATATCACCTTTGATAGGTATTTTCCTTTCAAATAAATGCTGAAATTACTTTACAAATATGAATACAATTGCAATTATGATTACGACTGAGTGATTTAACACACATGCACATATGAGTGTATATATATCTATATAGATATATATAACATATATATATATATATACGATGTTTTAAATATTTATTCTGTTTTCATCTGCGAGTAATACAAAAATGCTGATGCTTTAATTTAACACTGGTTTTGCTGTTTTAATTTAGTTTAAGTAGTTATTGCTTTGCTTCTTCTTTTTCCAGGTTGTTTTTTTTGTGTTCTGTATTGCTCTTGATTTGATATACATTGTTAGAGACAGTGTTAAAATGGGTTTAACCAGGCCCTGATGGGCTGCGTCTTTTTGCTCCCCCAGGCGAGGTGTGCCACAAATCCTACACCCAATTCTCCAACCTCTGCCGTCACAAGCGTATGCATGCTGACTGCCGTACCCAGATCAAGTGTAAGGACTGCGGGCAGTTGTTCAGCACTACCTCTTCCCTCAACAAGCACCGTCGCTTTTGTGAGGGCAAAAACCATTATGGCTCTCCAGCAGGGATGTTCAACCCTGGCATTCCCATGAGCTCCAGCCCCATCATGGCAAAAACAAAGTCCCACCATCCCCATCTTCCAGGTCTAAACCAGTCAGGTTTAGGCTTCACTGACTACTTTCCCTCAAGACCTCACCCTCATGCTGGCTTGCCCTTCTCCCCAGGACCTCATGGTTTCCCGTCCCTACCCCATGGGTTTCCTGGTATTTTTCCTCCATCACTGTATCCACGACCACCTTTATTACCTGCCAGTCCATTGATAAAGAGTCCGCTAGGCACCAGCAGTCAGGAAGTCAAGCTTCCCCGGAGTCCCTTAGATGCCCTCCCAATGTCACTTGTTAGCTCCACAAACGGCAATGGAGTTAACAGCTTGAGTCAACTGGAAGACAAAGAAAAAGACAGCAAACTCGATTTGTCTTCTAGTGGTGAAGCCAAGCCTAAATCTAAAATGCCAGACATGTCTGATGGTAGTGACCTGGAGGATATTAATACCACAAGTGGGACGGATTTGGACACCACCACTGGTACTGCTTCAGGTGATGGTTCTGACCTCGAGAGCGAAGGAGAAAGTGAACGTGAGCGAAGTGGTAAGAGGAGGAAGCCCTCTGGCACTGTATCGAGTCAAGAAGCAAACCAGTTAGAAGACACAAACAGCGCATTGATATCAGCGGTGTCTAGTTCAGGGAACCTCTCTATTGACCGACCTTTTCTTACTTCAGCATCATCCCAACACTCCTTCTTCCCTCCACCTGATGAGCAAGCACTCCCACCCACCACCACAAATGCCAATGCAGCCACCACAGATTCCATCAAAGCCATTGCTTCTATTGCCGAGAAATATTTTGGTCCAGGTTTGATTGGACTCCATCAGGAGAAGAAGATGGGTCCATTGCCCTACCATTCCATGTTTCCCTTCCAATTTTTGCCCAACTTCCACAACTCCCTATATCCCTTTAGCGCTGACAGAGGTGCTCTGAATCCTAGCATGCTTTTCAAGGCTGAGCCAAAATCCCCTCGTGAACAGCTGCACAAGATGGTTTCAAGTTCCCCTGCAGTTCCTGCTCCCACTGCAGAGTCCCCGTTTGATCTTACCACAAAACCCAAGGAGACGAAGTTAATTCCTACGACCCCAACAAACCCCTCAAACCCCAACAGCAGTATTGGAAGCAGTAGTGGGCCCGTCGTAATATCCAGCAGCGAAGAACAGCCGCTGGACCTCAGCATTGGCAGCAGGAGTCGTGGTGGTCACAATGGCGTTTCAGCTGAGCCACAAAATCGAAAGAACCACATCTATGGGGCTGGAAAGTTGGTGTCCATTAAGGATGAGACTCCGTCTGGTTTTCCTCAGCCCCTCTCCCATTCGTTGCACCAGGCCATCACCCAGCACCAGCAGTCTCAGGCACAGCCACATCAGCCTCCACCACTGCACTACGCCAAGCCCTCCGCATTTTTCATGGATCCCATCTACAGGTATTTCAGCGCCGATTAGAACAAAACCTGTGACTTTCACATAGCCCACATTCCAGCTTTGAATGTAGATTCTGATGTCAATAAGAGGTTTAGACCGACTATGACCTTGGTACGTAACCCTCTACCTTGTTGTTGGTCCAGCAGGGTGGAGAAGAGGAAGTTACTGGACCCAGTTGGGGCTCTGAAGGACAAGTTCCCAAGACCATCCCCACCACTCTTTCATCCACAGGTAAACTTACAGCACACCCACACACTTTTCATGCCACGGAAGGCACTTGGCTTGTGCTTCGGTAGAAACGGTGAATGGTGCACAAATTTTCAACAAAAGCTACAGCAAGGGAACGCCAAACAGAGGAATGGAGGTATTACAGGTATTACATACGGTTAGATTATTCCCACATGGTATTGACTATTATTTTCAAACTATGTATTATGTGAAAATACGTCAGTCCTGCCTCCCACGCTGCTGCAGCCTGAATTGATAAGGCCCTCAGTACTCTACACTGTGTTGTTATTTTCTCAAGAGTTCAATATGATTTCTTCCTTTGTTTACTAAATGGCGCCTGCATACCCCGTACATTCTACCTTTTTTCAGAAGACACGGTCTGCTATTGTAAGTCCTTTGATAATCAGTCACATTGTTTGACTTTCTCCAGACCGTCCCCACCTCTGAAAGATCTTGATTAGAAGGAATTATAGTATTAATAACAGAGAGAATAATAAACGTTTGAATTGAAACAGACTGCCTCTGTTGGTTACGCTAATCTTAGCTGTGGCATTGTTTTATGTGCTGGGAGCTCACTGGCTACCTAATAAGTCAACCTCCTCCAAGTATTTTCTTTTTTTTCTTCTGTGGCTGGCTTGCTAGATAATAGTGCTGTGTCCATCAAGGACATCCTGTGTTTGTGTGTAGGAGAATGGGGGGTTCTCGTTGGGGAAATGGTTTAATCTGACCTGGAAATCTGTGTCCTCTATCAATCATGACTTTGCAATACACACATCTGTGGATATAGAGACAGATACATTTACACATAGGCATGAATTTACTCATGTGACATTATACATATATGCTAATTTATCTTCTGTCCATTGGCAAGCAGAGACTTAGCACATCTCGGCTAAGATCACTCTGTACCTATAATCTTCAAAAACACTGCATTCATCAATGACTAATCACAGGCTTCTTCTCAAACAGACATTCCTTTCGGCTCCCTTATAACTAATCATCTCATTACCTTTCGTCCTTTCTATCCCTGTGCCCTGGATCAAATATTTTCACAGGCTCCCATGTAAAAACTTCTCACATCAGAGTGTCTCCCAGGGATCCTCCCAGCAATTCAAACACAATACCACCTCTAATTCAGTCTTATGACGGAATCTACCAAGCTCCCCTGCACCAGTTCTCAGACCGCGAATAAACACATCGAGACAGAATGTCTGTCCCTGTGTCTCTCCCATCCCATATTCTCAAAAAAGGAAGGATGTAAGCTGTTTTTGGCAAATAAACTACTGCATAGCTGGTCCCCTTTTGTTCACAGGCTTCTAGGGGAAGGGAAGCAGCTATCAGTTGGGGGTATCACAAACTATATTGTACTGCTACAGTCGTGGCCATTAAATGCTCCATTTAGCCAGTGTGCTTGCCCGAAACAGCAGGTTTGGCAGAAAAAGGTAGAGAACAAAGCATTCGTGGAAGCTGAACTTGCACGGAACTGGACTGGATGTATGGTGCTTGAACACTTCTGAATGTGTTACAGGTCAAGGAGGTGACTAGCCTTTATTACAAACAACAAGCCTAACCTCTGATCCACAGCTTCCTCAGAGCTTCCGCTCTCTGTTTCTTTCCCTCGCTCCATTTTTCAGATATTATCGTCTTGTTTGCACTTCTTTGTTGTCTTTGTCTGCCACACATATACTAAAATATTAATTTAGGATACTTACATGTAACAAGCAAGGTACATAATCAAGACTAAGCTTTGCAAAATATCAAGTCCTACTATTAAAATTTTAATACAAATTTGTCATTATCCTTAAAAAAATCATCTAATGCATTTTTGCCTTTTCTCACCCTATTTTCCAGATGTCAGCAATGGAGAATATGACAGAGAAGCTTGAGAGCTTTGGCGCTCTAAAACTGGATGCATTGCCCAATTCACTGCAACACTCGGCCCATCCACTGTTTAACTTCCGCTCTCCCCCACCTTCCCTATCAGATGCCATTCTTCGCAAAGGCAAGGAACGCTATGCCTGCAGGTTAGTGCCCTTTGGATTCAGTGTTGTCTTTAGTGACGTTCACAGTCACAGCTCAAGCCTTTGTTTATAATGTCCTCCCCTCTTTAACCACCCTTAGGTACTGTGGGAAAATATTTCCCCGTTCAGCAAACCTCACCAGACATTTGCGAACGCACACAGGGGAGCAACCCTACAGGTATTCAAAATTAACTAATTTAATCTGTTTTTATAACTTCATGACGACTCACAACTTTGCTTTTTTTTATTTTTTATTTGTCTCATTTCAAATAATTGACAAAAAACCTACAAGGGATTTGTTAATAAATTAAAACACATCAACACTTCATCCTTTATGGAAGAGTTGTTACTCACAGAGCACTCACAATGTACCATTTAACTTTAACTTGCAGGTGTAAATACTGTGACCGTTCGTTCAGCATCTCATCCAATCTCCAACGCCACGTCCGCAACATTCATAATAAGGAGAAACCCTTCAAGTGTCACCTGTGCAACCGCTGCTTCGGTCAGCAAACCAACCTTGATCGCCATCTCAAGAAGCACGAGCACGAGAACATTCCTGGTGGGTCTGCAGCAACTGCATCTGTTTCCTTTGAACGCTGAGGCTGGGTGAACTGAAAGCAGATCGCCATTGGTGACTGTTTAGTTAATCGATGGAGAAATAGATGGCACTCATCAGCTATTTGGAATGTTTTAATTATCACTTAGATAAAAAATTAATCACAGTGGTTTGAATGATTTGAGTTTGCAAAATAACTTGAAGAAAGGATCCACACTTCCCTTTCCTACTACTGCACAAAACAGCCCTGTTAAGTCCCTCTATCATAGATTAAATGAAAACCTTTTGTAAGGAATAATCACACATTTGACACCCCCGCACAACTATTGTAATATTCCAATAAATGTAAAAGAAGCATTTTGTGATCTAGCTGCCATGTGGCTGTAAATCAGTTTGCCATAACCATCATCCAAAATATTATTTTAGATAAAAATGAATACCTTGTTTTGTAATAAGCCTTTCAGCACTGGGTGCTCATGAATAAATTCAGAGTGCTAATTATACGAAAGCTTTCCGGCTAAAGGCATCCAAAACATTGTTGACTTCTTGTGTGACTGTTTATTTTCTATGGATTATTCTTCAGTTTTCTAGTGTTTGAAATTCAGAAGTAAGTTTATTAGTACACTCTAATTTAAATAAAGTGTATAACATCTCAAAAGATTTTTTCAGATTTCTTTTGTGTAGTTCTAATGATCATCAAGCCATGTTCTTGTGTTCTGAAACGTGTGTGTGTGGCTGGTGTGTGGCTGTGTGTCAACATCTGTATGCTTTCCCTAACAGTGAGCCAACAGTCCGGGATGCTTTCCAACTTAGGAACGACCATCTCTTCTCCGAACTCAGAGCCAGACAATCACGCACTTTTAGATGAGAAGGAGGACTCATACTTCTCAGAAATCCGCAACTTCATTTCCAACAGTGAAATGAACCAGGCCTCCAGCTCCACGGATAAGAGGTAAGATGAAAACATGCTTGCAAGGATCAAACTCGAATTATGGGTTTCACGAAGACTATTGTTGATTACTTTTGATCTCTGAGGCAGACTCTTCCAGTAACATTAATCCTTAAAACAGCAGCCTCAAGCCAAATATTCCTAAACGTTTTTTTTAATAGAACACTAAGTTGAAATATTGAAAAATACCAGAAAAAAATATTAGAGACGTTTAGCAGTTGGACTCCCTGGGTTAGTTGTTGTACTTTGGGTGCACAGTGCTCCCTAGTGGCTTAATGAAACAGTTGCCTGGAGACAGTGGCTCAAACATAAAACTACATTTTACTTTTCTGTTTTTGTCCACTAAAATCTTTGTCCAGCTGTACTAACATCCTTAGTTTTGTTTAAGTTTCCTGCCAATCAAAGATGTCTTTCAGGCAAGAAACGCTCATTGGGTGGAAATTTCAGCTTCACTTCTCCTCACACCGAAATACTTTTAGTGTTTGTAACGCTGTTTGTGGTGAGCTTGAGAGGATTCAGACAAGAAGAAAAATAAAAAGCAGGATGAAGTCTTTTTTTCTCTTTTATTTGGGAGTTTGCCCTCTGTCATTGCCTCTACACGCGCTCTATCTCTCTGTTTCCTTCTTTCTGCAAATTCCTTTCTGATAGTCTCACTTTCTGTTTGCCTCTTCCTCCATCTTCCCCCCTTCCCCTTGTCTGCACGCATTATGGCCAGCAGACCTAGTGGCAATTTGGCCCCTCTGCCATCTGGGATCAATACAAAGTCTCATCCACAACAAGCCGGCCTGACGTTTTAATATCTGTAATTCAGACTAAGTGTTATGCTTTCTGTCCTCCCACCAGACAGCCTGCTGTTTATTCTCACTTTGACTGACTGGAGTCAAACGCTTGAGCACAAACACACGTTCATGGATGACTATCCATAATCACCGCCAACCGCTCTCACAACCGCAGTTTTCCCACTTTAAAAATGGCCTTTTTCCACAGAATTGCCAGTTAAATACAAATCCAGAGTAGATTTTGTTTTCACATGAAAGCTTTTACATGTGGGGACGCTATTCATGCTGCTGCTCAGAAGGGGAACAGTTTCAGACAGGGGCTAGATGCTACAGATGTGCACAGATGTTTTCAGCAGCGCTGTGTTTGAGTACGAGGAAGTATTTGTCTTCTTGACACGATTCCTCTTGAGCCGAGGATCGAGCTTTACACTTGGATCAAACTTCACTCCGCACTGGCTCTTGGACGGAGACTGGACTACAGTCTCCAGCAGTTTGGACCCTGAGGGGGAGCTCGATTGAAGCATTTATCTCAAAGATCCACTGATGATTGAGCTCTTCCCCCAATCCAGCCGCTGTACCCGTACTCCTAGCCCACTAACACAAACACCCAACTGACGTGTTTAGACTAAATGACAAAAACCAGGGCCCCCCAATGTCAGAGCTTCTTTTCCTGTTTGCAGGCATGGACTTTTTCCCCACCAACTGGCTCTGCTATTTGATTATGGTGATATTTAATCTAGATTGAAAGAGAAGAACTTTCTCCCCCAAAGTCCCTCTAACCCACAATCACCCACCCACTGCGCATTAACCCAATCCCGTCCCTGTGCACCCCGTCCCAAAGGTAATCCTGTCTTATTTGATAAATGTCCATGGTGTGGCAAAAAAAAAAAAATGGAAGGGGTAAATTTGCCATCCCAAAGGAAATGATATCATGAGCCATGACATCGTGGTCGGGAGGTGATGGAGTAGGACGGGGGGGAGGGGGAGCTTGTTGTTTTGGCGCAGACTGGAAATGTACAGATGGCAGGTCGTAATGGCGGCGTGCTGATACCGTGTTCGCAGCAGAGCCGACATCTTCCCTCAGCCACACGGACTGCGCTCCACCATTACAGAGTGCAGAGCTTTGCGAAAAGGGCCCAGACCGAGGCCGACCATCTCCTGCTCTGTTTGTGAGGCACGAGCCAATTAATCATCCGTGGGCCGTTTGAAAAGCGCTCCAGGCACACTGTCAGCACCCGTGTTGTTTGTGTGGACACTGGAGCTGGACTCTGCGTGCCGTCGTCAGATTATTTATGTTTCTCTCTCCCCGACAGATGAGTCATGGCTTTAAATGTTTAGAAAATGGTAATAACCATCAAGCACCAGGCTGGGCATAATGCTCACACTACAAGAAATACTTGTCACATTTCGATTACAGTTAGTAAATAATTAAAAAGAGTTCACAGCAATTGAAACGAGCAAATACAGCCTGTTGGTTTATGACAGACAGCTCTGTAGAATAATTGAACATAAAAACTAACATTATTTCTCTCTGAAGTTGTGGCTATTTACCTAACTATAATTTAGATTTATTGAGTCTTTTCTCTCCTGCCACTTCTGACTACTGAATTTTTTTTTTTTTCATGGAAGGGGATGGACATTTTCAGAGTGCTGTTGGAGGTTCTGTTCAAATTTTCCATGGCAATGTCAAAGTTTTTTTTTTTTCTGCGAGAAAGTTTTTGCACCACCCAGTGGACTGGCGAACAGAAAGATTTGAAAGTTGACTTCCGTCACTGAATGAGCATTTTCTTCCCTTACAGGTCAGACAGGCCTGAGGAGGAGCACCCACCAAGCCACAGTCTGTCGAACTCTAAGCTAGGACTTCAGGGGCTCGAGGAGGAAGAGGATGAAGTGGAGGGTGATGACGAAGAGGAGGAAGAAGGCAGTCTGACGGAGAAATCGCACGACGAGGCGCCAGAGTCCCCTTCTCCCGTCACAACAGGAGCATACGAGGAAGACGAGGAGGAGGAGGACGCAGAGACGGCCCCGTTAGCAATGAGCTATGAGCACACTCGCAGGTATGCGTTTTGTTGAGCAGGCAACAGCAAATAATCAGTCATTTGTGGACCCACTATTTCATTCAGCAAGTACCAAATAGACACCCTTCATACCAGAGGCCTTTTATTTCACCGTCCTGAATTGGAAATGATGCTAGTAAAAAAGCAACTCCATATGCTGCACAGGTCACAAAGTGACCATACAAGATCTCAGCGTTCCCCCCAGAAAAAGCGGTTACTTTAGCACTCTTCTCCTTTTCTTCAACACCCTTTTCTTCTCTGAAATTGCTTCCTGTGCCTGTTTAACACTTTATTAACCGTAACTCTCTTTTTCTCTTCACTTCACATTTTCTTCCTCTTGGCATCTCTTTTCTCTTTTCATTATTCACTCCATCCTAAATGGCATCCACTCTCCATCTTTCCTTCCATCTCATGTCTTTCCATCTATTTGCCCACCAACCCCTCCAACCGACCCACCAAATCTCCCTTATCCCTGCCATCCATCCATCCATGCCTCGATGTGCAGGTGCATAGAGGAGGAGGGCTCTCTCCTGGACCTGGAGGGTCTGCCAAGTTTTCCCAAGAGCCTGGATGGTTTACGTAAAGCAGCCAATGATGAGCAGCCCTTTGATGTTAAAGACATATTTAGCACTTCACTAGAGACTGAGGCACTGAAAGAGACATTGTACAGGCAGGCTAAAACCCAGGTATGTGACTGGATTTTGGATCTCCTTTAAAACAGGAGGAACGACAGAGACTTTTCCTTCTGATATCTGGGGAATATACGTTAATAATCTTATATCTCAGCTGAAACTGCATTGCAAGAGCATATTATTCTCTTCTTAATGAAATTTTAAGTTAGAAAACATATTAACTCTATTCAGAGCTACAGTCACGAACCAAAAAAAGCATGAGATTTGCTAAGAAACTCAGGCAAAACACAGAGAGAAAATTCAGTAGATCGGAACTTTACAAACTAAAAACAAGAGCAATCATTTTTAATTAAATTTAATGGTTTCTGAAACGATTTTCAGCTTTACTGTTGTTTCCTGAATATATATATATATATATTTGAACTTGATATATGCATCTACTTAAACATAACTAAAAATTGCGTTGTCAAGAAAGTCACAGATAAATTTAGATTGAAAATTGAACAAAGAAATCCTGAACCTTACATGTTCTGTCGTTAAAAGTCCCCTCTTTTCTCTCACAGGCTTATGCAATGATGCTGTCTCTCTCGGAGAACAACCCTTTGCACGCACCCTCCCAGAACTCTCTGGACGCTTGGCTGAGCTTGGGGGGTGGACCGTCTGAGACGAGCAGCTTTCACCCACTCAACCACATCTAGGCAGAGACACTAAGAGAGAAGGTGGTAGAAGGAAATAGGAAGAACATTCATTTCACAAATGGATAGAGACTCAGGACTGAGTGGACATGAGTGGTGGGGAAGAGACACGGAGGCCAGACAAGAAGACATTGTCACACACATTCAAGACGGAGAGAATGATTTGAGTGGCTGTACGTGCGTTCACATTTCCGCGTGTGTGTGTGACTGAAACAGAAGAAGGAAAGACTGTCACTAAACGAGGGGTCCTGCAAGACTCTGTCCAAGAGAAAGCACTGCTAAGCTCCTGTTGATGTGAAGGACACCGCGAATGCTCCTCAGTAGCATTGTAACTGCATTTCTCTGATCCTCCCCAAGTGCACCAGGCTCACAGCAGCATCACTGACGGCCCACACGGGGCCCTCATGAAGACGCTTAATGAATGATATGTCCCTATGGCGTGTTCCCCGCTTTCTACAATCACCGTAGAACCACTGGCAGTGCTTGTCCACAAGGTGGTGCTGTCTGAGCGGAACACATCTGCACACCTCCACCAACTGGGTGTGACTAATTCTTTTTTTCAATGTTTCAGAATCAGCCATAGCTCCACTCTAAATTTTCAGATCCGATAGACTGTTGATTTTGCAGTGATTACAAGCAGAAAGATGTCCAATGTGCTTTTAATGAGATATCAGGGCCACAAGCCATTGTAATTGGTTGCTAAATTTGTACCATGCTGAAAATGAACTTAATGCCTAAAAGAAGAGAGAGGTCTTTCTTGGTTTATCACATCATTGCTTGTTAATTGTATTTACCTTCTTTCCTATTAGACACCACAGTATTGTTTCTTTGTAGGCACCACAGTGCTAAATTGTTAATATAATTATTTTAGAGAAGGACCAAAATTGTATGATACTGTCATATGATGTAAAAAAAAAAAAAGTAACCTAGATGTTCATAGTAAGAGTGGTATGTGCCAAATAACTCATAGAAAATGTTTTGTTCTCTGACAATCATTTCATTTCCGAGGGGCTCGCCTTAGCTGTCATAGTTGTTTTTTTTTCTTCTTTCTCTTATTACGCGCTTATATATTTGATTTCAAAGGTGTGTTTATGTATTTATTTTTTATTGTTTTGTGACTGGACTAGTGAAAATGAAGAAAAGTCCTTTTATCCCTCTTCTCTTGAAGGAATGACCACCATAAGAACCCGTTGGAGATTCTGAATCTCTGGTTTTGGTGGTCTAGTGTGCCAAAATGGAAAGACCCCTTGTTGTTATTTATAGTGAAAAAATAGCTGTAGTTAGTTTTAGAATCCTGTTAGATATTGGCGCATCGTGCGGAGTTTAGTCCTTCTTTCTTTTTGTGTGTGCGTGTTCCACTTCACAAATTGAACATTTATGTTGAATGCTTTTTCTTTAAATTGATTCAACTATATGGCATCAGACTTAGACAAATTTCACTATCAATGTCAGTAAAAGGGCATTACATCGTTCATTTCAGTTATGAATTTGAGTTTCTGTCATGTTAAACTCTCTCTCTCAAAGTGATTTTCCTCTTTTTATCGTACATGGTCCAGAAGTCTAAAGCATACAGTCAAAACTGCACCAACATGACAAACTCACTGGTTACAGAAAAAACAAAGACAAGC